TTCTAAACCTTTGAGGGGGATTGTCTTCATAGCTTTGTTCTCACAGGTGCAAAAGGAACATTTATACAGGAAAGTTTTTTAAAATTTGCATACTACTCGAACGGGGAATAAAAGTTTTATTATTAGTTAAACACATACAACCAGATTCACACAGACATCTGTGTGAATTATTGGCAAACCTATCCTAAACTTGTTTTGCTATTAGTCCTGGTTTAAGAGAAATGAGAGCTCAGTCCAACCTGAGGTGTCAGATAACCAACTTGCTAGTACCAGCATGCCCTGGGGAGAAAACCTGCTAACAGAAAAACAAACATCTGAATTAACTTAAGTGTTTGATCACAAACCAAGTTTGAACAAGATATAATTTATTCAAGGGATTTTATGTAATTGATGCTCCTCTCACAGCAGTTTACCCAACTTTCACATGCACTTTCTTATTTCAATTCAATCTGAATGGGCTTGTGCTTGGGTATTCAAATACCACACCAAATATCCGGATTACTGGTATATCGAAGTGTGACAGATAGCATTATGTTGAGGGTGGGGGGGATTTACACAAATTAAAGATTACTAGAAGAGAAATTTTTTGTTGTTGTTTGGTGTGATTTTATTACTTCTACAAAGCAGAACACCACCACTCTGTTCCCATGATTCATCACACTGTGTGTTTACAATAAGAACATAATGCCAAAACTCCTCTGTATATTTCTGTATTGATTTAATGATACAAATTTTCCCCTTTTCTTATTCCCCGTGCTCCTTAAAATACTTGGAAGTAAGGTGCTTTGTTGTCGTTTTATGTTATTGTCTCACAGTATTTTTAATCACTTTATATTTGAAAAATCAAAGAAAACCACATGAAAGAAAATTACTGAACTCAATGCATAAGGACAACAACTCTACAGTGGTACCTTGGGTTAAGAACTTAATTCGTTCTGGAGGTCCGTTCTTAACCTGAAACCATTCTTAACCTGAGGTACCACTTTAGCTAAAGGGGCCTCCTGCTGCTGTCGCCACGCTGCTACCGCCGCACAATTTCTGTTCTCATCCTGAAGCAAAGTTCTTAACCCAAGGTACTATTTCTGAGTTAGCGAAGTCTGTAACCTGAAGCGTCTGTAACCTGAGGTACCACTGTATTCTGATGTGCAACCAAATGCAGAGGTCGCCCATCCACACTGCATTATGTTCAATGTCCTTCATATAAAGAGTCCCCATCTACTTTTTGCCTAACAAGTAACCTAAATGTGTGCCTATCTTGGGGGGGGGGGGAATCTTCCTGAAGGCATAGCACAGAAGGGAGATTCCCTGTCATGTCTGAGGGAATAGTGATTTCTGTTTTGTTTGACCTGAAGGGAATATTACAAGCAGAGGAATATTAAAAACTGAATCCAACCAATACTCTGTGCTACACATGAAGCCCAAGACCTTGGTTTTTTCCCCAAGTACCATTCTGAAATGGTAACTGGGAATACTCATCCTGTAGCCACTATACTTACAAAATGGTGCTTGAAAAGGATACACAGAGGCAAAAAAAGAAAGAAGTAGTCTCTCTCTGCAAGTAATACAAGTAAGCACATTCTTGGTAATTGCTCCTCTGCTATGGAGCTCCAACACCTGAGGCATTCATTCAGACCTGAGCTTTGGTATCATTCCCAAATGACAAACTTTTACACTTGGATCATGATAAGGTAGTCTTAAGGAAAATTTTACTGTACGGGTATCTATGTTACTAGGATTTTTTTTAAAGTACTTAAAGATAAAGCTTAATGATACATTCAAGCTGCAATTCTACATATATTTACCTGTGTGTAAGTCCAATTAAACTCAATGGGGCTTACTTCCAAATACAGTGGTACCTCAGTTTATGAACTTAACCTGTTCCAGAAGTCCGTTCTTAAACCGAAACCGTTCTTAAACTGAAGCGCGCTTTCCCTAATGAGGCCTCCCGCCGCCGGTGCCCTTCCACCGTTCGAATTCCGTTCTTAGACCGAGGTAAAGTTTGCAAACCGGGACACTACTTCCACTTTTGCGGAGTTCATAAACCAAATCCTTCGTAAACAGGGCTGTTCTTAAACCGAGGTACCACTGTAGACTTGAATATGATAGTGCTGCATAAATCCTTCAACCACTCATCAAAACCTGGGAAGAAAAAATTGCTTACTTATCTTTTCTTCAAAGCTGAATGAGCAGAACAGAATACAATTTAAACAACATATTCTCAGCACAAAAAGAGGAAACTGTTTTTTCAGAACTTCCTCTGACGTAAAAGGCTATCTGGGTGATTAATGAAGTTGCATAACTGACATAATGCAATACATAAAGTTTTACTGTGGGATGCAGAGCATAATTTCGGACAGGAATACATTTTAAAATGTTGTGTAATTAATATATATTGCTCCTTCGTGACTGCATACAGTGATCCTCCATACATCATTCAAATACCTGTGTAAGCAGTTCTGAGACTGTTCAGGTTTTCTCCTCAAAGACATTTCACTTCCACAGGTCTGAGAGAGTGCTGGCTTGGGGACCTACAGGCAAGAATAACTTCGTAGTAATCCCTACACGCAGAATGAAAACAGAAGCCAAAACGGAGGCTGTCACACCCAACATGTGCCATGAGTGAGTGAGGGACTGTAGTGCATTGACAGAGCACCTGCTTGGCATGCAGAAGGTCTGAGGTTCATTCCCTGGCATCAATAAAGGATCAAGTAGTAGGCAATGTGAAAGACCTCGACCTGTGGGCCCTGGACAGCTGCTGCCAGTCAAAGCAGAAAATACAAGACAAGAAGTCTGCCCTAGTATAAAGAAGCTTCCTGTGTTCCTGTGACAGTGACCCAGCTATGGTGTTGAATTTAGTGGAACTGGAGTATGCAGCACCCAAATAATAAAGTCCATGGTTAAAATGTGCTTTTAAAGAATTGGGTTTTTTAGAAAAAAATGGTTCTTATATGAAGACTAATAAATTATCTTCCTCACAACACTACTCCTTTATTGTAGAAATTGAGAATGCACACTGAAGACAGTTTTTTTTTAAAGATACAAGCAATTGTGCTTATGCTTGTGTTTCTTTACATAAATCAAACTGCTTGTTTTTAGAAAGGAACCACTGAAGCAGCAGCAGCAGAAAAAGGAGGAGGCAGTTTCCTCATATACCAGAAAGCCCTTTGTCTATTCAGAGATGGATTTATTTTTACCACTTGTCAAAGAGTTCAAGTCATTCTGAAAGCACCATTTAACCTTCTCACAAGAAACAACATGGGTCAAGTTGGTTAAATGCCAAACAGTTAAGAAGATCAGCTGACTTTTCCTACAGACTGATGCAGCATCCCTTGGTGGATTCTTTCTATTTTATATAGCGAACACCTTCTGCATAATGAAAGATCACTTAGGAAACACTCACTTTAAAAATGGAGAGATCCTTCTTCCTCCCACTTCCACTTGACAGAAAGAACTACTAAGGGGATTGCATACATTTTAGCATAACAGAACCCTAAGTAAAACTGGTAAGAGTGCAAATAGTTCAGATGCATTTCTGAATTTCATTTTAGCTAGGCATTGTGGGCAAATCCTTTGCCCAGTGTTTTCTAAAGACTGGAACTTAATCTCAATTCTGATCAATCACTATTTCTGCCTCCTACTATTGAGGACAGAACCTAAAACACATTGTGACAAAGCCTATAATCTGGATGCAAACAGTCCCAAAATTCAATCCCCAGCATCCTGCAGTTCAAGATCTCTACTTGAAAAACCTATAGAGAAAAACAAGAGCCCAGGAAAGTTGCTGTCAATCTGCTTAGATGTACAGATACTGTGAAAGGCTTCATCCTCCCTCAACTGTCTGAAGAACACATAAGATGTGTGTATCCATCTTTACATGCAAAACTTTTGAGAATGTTTCCTCATAGTAATCCAGGACCACATCTCTGCAGTCACCCTCTGATGGATAATGTGAATATGAGTAACCAGCACTGAGACCTCTCCATATTATCTCAATCATGCAGGGTAATCAAGGACATCTGTATTTCAAGCACACCCCAAAGCTCACTGACGTAATCCTGGAGGAGTGGGACTAAGATGCAAAACAATGCTGTACTTTATGAAGAGCACAAAAGTATGTTACAGTCACTTGCCCACATGCACACCCAGCAGTGTTAATATACTCTGCTCACTTTAAACTGGGGGAGAAGCCAGACAATACCATATTTACTTGAGTCTAATGCGCCACTGAATCTAATGCACATCTTAATTTTCGCAACATAATTTGGCCAAAAAGGGTGAGCATTAGATTCGAGTAAATACGGTATTATAGCCAAGCTATTTTGGTGTAGGCTAAGGAACCATCTTTCATAAAACAGGAAAGGATCCAAAAAACCTGAAGATCTCAAAATACATCTTGATTTATAAATAAATTGAAATGCTTCAAAAGGCAGCTTCAGATAACAAAACACCAACCAGAATGATTGGCTTAACTTCACATATACACCAAGAAGATTTGAATTGATGGCGACTGACCAGAAACGAGATCTTGGGTTGTAGGAGGCAGTTCAATTCTGCAACTATGAAAAGGGCAAACTCCATGCTAGGGATCATTAGGGAAACGGCTGAAAATTAAACTCCCCAATATAATGCTGTTATACAAATCTATGATTGACCACACCTGGAATACAGTATACAATTCTGGTTGCCTCACCTCAAAAAGGGTATTTCAGAGCTGGAAAGAGTTCAGGGGGGGAAAGGCAACCCAAATGTTCAAAGGGCTGGAGCAATTACCCTATGAGAGAAGGTTACATTTGGGACTTTTTAGTTTAGTGAAAAGGTGCGTAAGAGGTAACATAATAAAAGTGTGTAAGATTATGGATGGAGAAAGTGGATAGAGAAAAGTTTTGCCCTGTTTCTCATAACACTAGAATCTGGGGACAATGAAGCTGAATATTGGAGGATTTGGGACAGACAAAATAAAGTACTTATTCATATAGGGCAGGCATGACCAAACTTGGCCCTCCAGCTGTATTGGGACTACAGTTCCCATCATCCCTGACCACTGGTCCTGTTACCTAGGAAGGATGGGAGTTGTGGTCCCAAAACAGCTGGAGGGCCAAGTTTGGCCATGCCTGATATAGGGCATAGTTAAACTATGGAATTCTCTCCCACAAGGTATAGGAAATGGCATCAGCTTAAGTGGCTTTAAGAGGGGATTAGTGTTATCCTCCATGAATTTGTCTATCAGTGACTACTCACTATGATGCGTATTCCAGAATTAGATACTGTATGTGTCTGAATACCAGATATTGGGAATGACAAGCAGGGAGAGTGCTGTTGAGCTCAGGACCTGTTTGCAGGCATCTGGTTGGCCACTGTGAGAACAAAATGCGAAACTAGATGGGCTTTTGGCCTGATCCAGCAGGCTTCTTGCTATGTATACCTAGCCACATACCAATTATTCAATCAGAATAGAGCCACAGCAGCCACGTGCTGAATAGGCCCTCCCTAGCACATATTCACCCATGAAGTCATCCACTTGAGCAGAATAGGGTTGATTCAAATTGAACAAGTCACGGGTTGCAGAATCCCTGAATGCTACCATACTGAAGCTCCCACAATACTGCCCCATCCTGAACAGACCACACCTGCACAGGTATATAGCGGGCTTTATAATGAGCTGTAATCATCACCAGTTGGCTCAAGCACCTTCTGACCTGGAGTTTGCATGTTCAAAATCGGGCTCTCTCTGCTGACAGTTAATGGGGACATTAATGTCACCAAGGAATTAGCTAGGTTCCCTTGTGCCCTTGGCAAGGAGCTTTATCAGGGTTCCCCTGTCCTTTCACCCAGCCACCCAGAGCAGCAAGGGAACAGCCCAGGGAATGCAGAGACAGGCGGGTGGGCTCCTAGCCCCTGAATGTCACTGATCATTGCATGTCAATAATATCATCTTGTGCCTTCATCACAAACTGTCCAACATGAATGCCTCTCCAGCTCTAGAAAATCAGGCACTCCACTTTGGGAAATCTAACATACAGGAACACATCCACTACAAGTGTTCTGTCATTACGAACACAACATGTACTACTAGCCCAGGCCAAAGACAAAAGTCCTAGCCTTTCTTCCACAACTAGAAGCATCCTACTAGTAGGCCCGAGCTTACACTATGAGAAAGGTATGAAAACAAGTACTCATGCCCTTTCGAAATTCAACCCCACTGGGAAAAGTGAGTGCACTTTTTCATTCGCAGCAGAGTTAAGTTTCCATCCAAACATCCATCCTATATCCTGTGGCCTTTGTAATGCTTTAGTTGTCCTTTCCTTTATACAGTCAAAGAGCCTTTCCCCTCCCACTCCAGATGTACAGTATTTGACTTTAAAAGAAGCACAAAAACCCAAGTCTTTTGTTCATATTATAGCTTCTTCCTGCAGTCCTCTGGAGTCAGCCCTATTGAGACATTACATGGATAATAGCAGGCTGATTGCACAAAAGCAGACCAAAAAGGCGGGGGAAATTACAGGAAGCACACTGACTTTGAAGGCTGATTGGGGAAACAGGCCCCCTTTTTGCCAACTTAAGAATAATTACGATTGAGAGGGGGGAAATGAATATTTTGTTAAAAATGAACATGAAGGAGGGGCTAAAGTCTGCATTTCAAAACCATTTGTGGTTCATGAGGAATAGGGACCTGCTAAACACAGGAAGTGTTTGGGAGGAGGGAAGAGGAGAGGAAGGCCAGAAGAAATCTGCTGAAAAGTACAAGGAATCTAACTTCAAAGGATAAACACCCAAGCCAGGTAACTACTGAGAGGCTGCTGAACACATGACCTGGAGGGAAATGAAAAAATAAGGAAACATTTTACAACTGAATAAGATGGCAACCCACTCCTAATCAGTTAAACCATGACCTTTAATAATGGCTTCATTGTAGGTCTCTGATAACAAACAACAGCAGGACAACTAAAGCATGACAGCTATGGAGAAAGTTAATCACTAAATATGAACACAGGATTAAAACTGTCATGTGACTTATGCAACCTTCTCCCACCCCAGATCTTGTGACATAAGATGTAAAGAGCCTCTATCAGCCAGTATGTGCTTGGATCCTATTCACTCAGGTTGACAGTTTTTAGCCTAGCTACAAACACTGGTTTAAAACAGGAACGGGAAACTTGGTGCCATCCAGATGTACAGTGGTAACTCGGAAGTTGAACGGAATCCATTCTGAAAGTCCATCCAACTTCCAAAACATTTGGCAACCAAGGTGCAGCTTCTGATTGGCTGCAGGAAGCTCCTGCAGCCAATCGGAAGCCACGTTGGGACATTCGGGTTCCAAAGAACGTTCGCAAACCAGAACACTCACTTCCGGGTTTGCGGCATTCGGGAGCCAAAATGTTTGAGTCGTAAGGCATTCGTCAACCAAAGTACGATTGTATTTAGAGAAAAACTCCCAACTTCAGGGACAATTTGCAATGCTGGTTGAGGCTGACAGGAGATGGAGTCTTAACTTATATCAGGGTCCCTTCCAACTCTACAATTCTATGATCTGGGGAGCCACATGTTCCCCATCCCTGGTTTAACAGATAAGATTAGCCTTAGGTAATCAGCCTATACAGCTAACTTCTCTTCCAATTCAGTTGACACCAGTTCTACCATATCACACCTCTTTTTTCAAGATTTGAAAGTCAAAGCCACCTTTAACTTTCTAGGAAGGTAGAGGAGGTCCCAGGCTACCCATGATCAACTACTTTGCAGCACTCTGAACTGACACATACCCATTGGAAGAACTAACACGCTCCTATCAAAATTTAGGATGGGGGCTGTAAAAGAGGAAGACGTGATTAGGAGACCATCACTTTTTATTATTTATTTTATTTTCTAAAATGTTTTCACCGCTTGATTGTACAAATATATACCTCAAAATAGTTTACAAAAAATAAAACAGTAAAACCAAGGAAAAAATCACAACCATACTTTAAAAACTACAAAAGTTAAATTACTACAGCAGCTTAAAATTACCTTAACTTTCAAAGCATCGGGGAAGGCTTGCCTAAACATTTTAGCAGGCCCCAAAAGGAATATAATGAAAGCACTTGCTTGATATCAATAGGCAGGGAGTTCCAAAGTGTAGGTGCTGCTACACTAAACAAGAGAGTTCTTACAAATGCAGAATAGGTATTATGTGGAACTGGGAATAGTGCCAATTGAAGCGGTCAGGTGAGTACATACATGTGGGGCAAGGTGATCTTGGGGGTAAACTGGTCCCAAGTCGTTAAGGGCTTTATATACCAATAGTAACACATTGAACCTGGCCTGGTTTAACTGCTATAACATCACTGAGTCTATCTCAAATGGAGAGGTAAATTAAATGAGACCAACTCAGTCACCAAGAGTCGATCACCCAGTTTCTAGGAGATGAGAGCCAACGAGTTTCCTCTTTTATCTTTTGATGACAAGCCCCCTTAAGGCATCAATGATCAGAGGAGAAAATCATAGCAGATGTGGTTTCCCAAAATGCTTTTAAAAGGCAGTACAACTTTACAGCATAGAAGCCTACCAAGGATTTGTAGTTGTTAGGGCCACAATGCTGAAAAACTGTCATTTATTACAGAAAGCCTGCCACTTGCGAGGGGGCTACGTTTCAGGGATTACTTTTAAGGATAACAGGGTACTTCAAAACTATTGGACTACAGAAATGAGAGCATCCTCAAAGCCTTCATAAAAATCTGTCTCCACCTGGACAAAGTCCCACTGCAAATTGGTCAGGTGGCACTGTAATATAATTTTATCTTCTCTATCAAGATGGGCAGCAAACATTTGAAACAGCTTGTGCTGCAGAAGATATTAAGTAATAACCTTACAGCCCCATTTGCGCAGGCAACCAGGCTGATAGGCTTGGGTCAACTCCGCTGATGTCCAATTTGGCAAATAGCAAAATAACTGCAGAGAATTCTTGAGATGAGGGTGAATAAATTAACTAGATAAACCTTTGGACTTTATCCACACACAAGGGAAGAGAAAAGAATGGGGATGGGGATGTATAGCTGTATTTTTAGAAGACACGCTGGATTTCTGGATGATTCTCCTTTCATACCTTTTCCTCCAAATATTCTAATGTAGCATGGCACATTGCCCCCATCCTGAATACTGCTGCTTCTGCACACTCCGCAATATTGCTCCATGAGCTACAGGGAGTCCCGGCTGACAAAGCATCAAGGCAAGTTGAACAACAAAGCAACAAGAGGACAAGTAACACCCCCCCTTTTTTTAATAAAGCAACTCAGACTAATTATTTAATTAAAGCAGCTCAGACTAATAAGGGCACTGTAAGGTCACTGTGTGCTAGGAGCCAAATCCTGTAATAATGTATAACTCATGAGCTAAGGGGGAGGGAGGAGGCCAGTGGAGAAAGGCTCCACTTGAACCAGGATGCAACCAGATACGGTGGTACCTTGGGTTAAGAACTTAATTCCTTCTGGAGGTCTGTTCTTAACCTGAAGCACCACTTTAGCTAATGGGACCTCCTGCTGCCACCACACCACCGGAGCACGATTTCTGTTCTCATCCTGAAGCAAAGTTCTTAACCCGAAGTAATATTTCTGGGTTAGCGGAGTCTGTAACCTGAAGCGTATGTAACCTGAAGCGTATGTAATCCGAGGTACCACTGTAGTTGCTGCTTAAAATTTAAAAGGGTGGCAGAACAACTTTTAAACTGATGGCGGGCAGCAGGAGGAAGTTGATAGGAGCTTATGAGGGAACCAATCTCCCTTCTCCCCTACCTGAATGAAGATGGAAATAAATACGAAAATTTAAATGGAGGTGGTAGAAACTAGGCACTGAAAGCACAGTGGCACAAGATAGCAATTGAGAGGACAAATACAACCCAATGTAATCAAATGTGAGGTGATGCATATATGGACAAAGTATCCTAATTTCACATATACCTCATAGGGTGATGTCTGACCAGCCAACTGGTGCTGACTGACCAGGAGCAAGACCTTTGAGCTCAAAGCCGATAGCTCAGTGCTGAAAACTACAGGTGGGGAATAGTACTGGTGCACTCAGGTCCTGCTTTCGGTCTTCCTAAGGGCACCTGGCTGGCAACTGTGA